GTAGCTTAACCCAGGTAGAACCTTTTCGCCTAGGGGGATCTAGCTCATAGTTCCGGGTAGAAGTACTCTTTGCTCAGGATGTTCTACGTAGCTTAACCCAGGTAGAACATTTTCGCCTAGGGGGATCCAGCTCATAATTCTAAGTAGAAGTACTCTTCGCTCAGGTTGTTTTATGTAGCTTAACCCAGGTAGAACCTTTTCGCCTAGGGGGATCCAGCTCATAATTCTAAGTAGAAGTACTCTTCGCTCAGGTTGTTTTACGTAGCTTAACCCAGGTAGAACCTTTTCGCCTAGGGAAATCCAGCTTATAGTTTCCGGTAGAAGTACTATTCGCTCAGGATGTTTTACGTAGCTTAACCCAGGTAGAACCTTTTTGCCTAGGAGGATCTAGCTCATATTTCGGGTAGAAGTACTCTTTGCCCAGGCTTTCTTTTTGTAGCTTAACCCAGGTAGAATCTTTTCGCCTAAGGGGATTCATCTCATATTTCCGGGTAGAAGTACTTTTCGCCTAGGCTTGCTTTACGTAGCTTAACCCAGGTAGAACCTTTTCGCCTAAAGGGATCAGCTCATAGTTTCGGGTAGAAGTACTCTTCGCTCGAGATGTTTTACGTAGCTTAACCCTGGTAGAACCTTTTTCCCTAAGGGGATCCAGCTCATATTTTCGGGTAGAAGTACTTTTCGCTTACGTAGCTTAACTCAGGTAGAACCTTTTCGCCTAGGGGATCCAGCTCTTATTTTCGGGTAGAAGTATTTTTCGCCCAGGCTTACTTTTGGTAGTTTACCTTAGGTAGAACCTTTTCGCCCAAGGGATCTGATATTTTATTAGTGATACAAGGTACCAACCCCTCGTTACATTTCCTTTCAGTAATACAAAGTACCAACCCCTAGTTACCTTTTCCTTTTGAGTAATACAGGGTACCAACCCCTTGTTACATTTCCTCTTCAATATTATAGGGCGCCAACCCCTGGTTACATTTCATTTTAGTAATACAGAATACCAATCCCTGATTACATTCTTTTTCTGTAATACAGGGTACCAACCCTTGGTTATTTTTCCTCACCAGTATCAGGGTATACCAATTCCTAACTGTGTTTTCCGACATAGGGTCTCCACTCCTTAGTTTATTTTATTTTTTAGACGTAGGGTCTTCACTCCTTAGTCTCCTTACTAGTATCAGGGTACACTATTCTCCATCGCATTTTTCCAACATAAGGTACACCAATCCTTAGTTGAGACACCATTTAGACAATCAGGGTACACCATTCCCAAAGAATATATTTTCCCAGGGTACACCAATCCCGACTTTTTATTGCTTTCAATAATGAAGTAGTATAGAGTTTTGTTACAAATAACTCACGAAATGTTCCTAGTGAAAACTGGGGCAGAAAAACTCCGTTCGTGTGTTTGTTTTGGTGTTTGAGCAGGTTTTACCTTGAGGCACGGGTTTGAGATGAAAAATAGAAGAATTCTCAATACAGAATAAAGAAAAGAAAAGAAAAAAAAAGTGAATCCAGAATGCAAAAGCGGATGAAAAGATGTGAATTGCTCAAGACATGACTTAAGTCACGAGCATTGCATTTCCCGCCTTCATCAGAAGAGGCCATAGAAGAATGAACTAGCACCTGCAGCTACCAAGCATCAAGGTTCGGATCAGAGTCTGCGTGAAGAACCAGTCAAGATTCAAGATCAAATTTTAGAAGACTTATAAATAGAAATCTTGTAACTCATAGCAGATAGGCTTGTTTAGTTTCTTTTGATTTTGATGTAATAACATGACCACAGACCGGAGCCTCGACTGAATCTCACTCGACTTTCTAACTCAGAATTCCATCATTTTTCTTGAACTACACGCGACTTGATTCCCTTATAACCCGGGATATGTAGGTCGTCCAAAACCAGGACTCGGTTGCACTCTTTTCTCTCTTCCCTTTTGAATAATGGTATGGACAAAAATTAATCATATCGCTCATCTTTCTTTGCCTGAAAACACTTCATGTTTCCAAGCAAAGAGGGGCATGATGTGATCACCTAAATTTTTACCATATTTGAATTTATTCATCACTTTTTAGTTGGTAAATATTTTTAAAGCTTTTGTTTTATCTTTTTATACGTTTTTAAGAAAATTAAAAATAAAAATAAAGTTATATTTTTAGATAATTATTTTAATTTTTTTTGTAAAAAAAAATTAAAATATATTTTATTAGTATATTTTTTGTTAGTCTAAAGACTTTCTATAAATAAATATTGAATATTTAGTACTTTAATCCTTTAGTTAGTAAGATGTAGTATTTTACACTATTTACCTATTATCTCTAAATAAATAAATAAATAAATAAATAAAGTAAAAAGAAAAATAAACGAATGGGTGGCACAACGATGTGGCCTTAAAAATTTTGCACAAATTTTGCACATTCACTTTTTCCAATTGGATACCCACTTTTCAAAAGCTCACATGGGGTAGGAATCCAATTTCTCATTCCCCCAATTTTTATTCTATTATACATATAACAAAAAGTCAAAAAAAGGGGGAGGAAAGTCAAAGAGGCGAGGAGGAAAGAGAGGGGATCCGAGAGAGAAGAAAAAAGAGAGGAAGTTAGATATAGGGACAGAGACCAGAGAGAGAAGAAAACGCAACAGAAAATATATATATATATATATATATATATATATATACTACAAATGGATCTTATCTTTTTCACAGGGAGATACCATTCATAACACTCATTTTTCCACCATTAAAATCACCTCTAAAACTCCATAACCCAATAACTTAATACCGCTGCCAAACACTACTACTTCTTCACAAAAGCCAATTGGGAGCTCAGCTAAAAATCAACCCATTTTCCCACCCCAAAAGCAGTCCCTAAATCAACACTCCAAACCCAGCAAAAAGAAAATAGTCCATAAATTGCAACTTTTAAACCTGAAATCAAGCTAAAAAGAAAACCCAGCTATAGCAACACCATGAAACAACCTTTAAATCATCGTTGTTATTAGAGTTTCGGTCGAGGTTCAGTCAACTGCAAGATTTTCAATCACTGATTTCGGTTCGAAGCCGGCTTTGGTCTTTAAAGTTTCAAAGGGTGTTGACGTCATAGTCTTTGACGTAAAGGTCCACTTTTACTCTCATTGTAATTCTTCTGTTTCCTTTAATAATCATAAATTGGTAAGCTTTATTATTAATATTTTAGTGCTTAAATTTGTGCTCTACTGGACAATGTCCTATATGTTACTGTTCTGTTAACTTGATGTGATTGTATTGTTGTTTAAAGCATTTCCATTTTAGAATTATCTCTATGCTTGATTATAGGAATAATAGGGACATTATAGTAATATCTTTAGTTACAATAATATCTAAATGCTACACTTCTCCCCAACAAATTTCATAATTTATGACTTTACAATAATCTCAAACTTAGGATTTGAACACTCACAAATACCGCTAGTACACTTTTAGGCGCGTTTTAAACTTATTATCGTGATTATGTATACGTTTGCGTGACATAATTATGATTTTTCAAAATAAATCAAGGTACGCGTTCGCGCGACTTTGGCCAAAAACAATCTTAGTAAATAATAAAGCGTGATTAATTATTTACACGTGCGCGTGACATGATTTTAGCGCATTAAATAAAACGGATTTACACACATGTGATCCGTTTCAGATAATTTCATATTTTAATAATTAAAAACGGATAGATAAAATATGAAACCAATAAATCACAATATGTCCAAAATTAATCCAAGTCAAGTTGTAGTCAATAAAGCGACCGTGCTAGAACCATTGGACTCGGGGAATGCCTTACACCTTCTCCCCAGTTAATAGAATTCCTTACCCGCACTTTATTTTTGCAGACCAATAATAATAGAGTCAAATCTTCCTTTGACTGGGTATTCAAATAAAAGGTCACTTGGAACACCCAAAAAATCAATTCCAAGTGGCGACTCTGTAAATAAAATAATTCATATTCAAGTTTGTCACTTTAATTGGAGAAACTCTTTAATCCATAATAACATAATATATCTTTTGGGGGTAAAAAGAGATGTGGTAGAGGATGTAGAGTCTATAGTGGATATTATTGGGTCTTTGTAACTACCACAAGTTTGGGTTTGCGTTTTTCGCTCTTTTTGAAGGGTCTTGTAACTATCTTTAACCTTTAGCATAACCTTTATGCTAAAGGTTTTTCTACTTAATTTACATAAAACTTGTTATCTTCTCAAAAAAAAAAATATGACAACAATTTATACTAATTGACCTAACCCGTGTACAATAATATAATCAATGTATGCTCTTCAGCAAAGGTGAAAACATTAAATCTTACAGCTACAACACACAAGAATTTCCAAATCCCAGTCTTTCTCCATGTATAACGTCCTCTGAACCCCAGAGGGGTGCTTCCATCAGGACCAGAACAAACAGGCAAACCGATGATTTCCTTGGACTACAATACCCTCGCATTTAAATACATCTTTCAAGAAATGAATCACTATCGAGTTTGGTTTTCATCATCTTCAGCAATGTCAAATAGGAATTTTGGAAGGGATGCAATACGAGGAAGATGAAGGAGCAAGTCACCAAAGGAGTCTCTCCTTGGAATACTTGGTGTCAGCTTACCACCAGCAAAATCCTTGGCGTCCTCTGCGTCATTTCCCTTGCTCTCACATGCAGAAGAGCTACAAGCATCGTTAGATTGAATAGGTTTTTGCAGATGATTTTCTCCATTAAAATGGGACTCGTGAGATGCACTAGGATCCTGCAAGAGGCAGCATAGAGAATTGACCTTCTTCAGGAGAGATTTCTCGTCTGATGTTGTACATTGAGTGTCACTCAGCCACACATGTGCTATGTCCTCCAGCATGCCCTTGCATTCTAACGCCTGATCAGAAGGCAAGTTTCCGAAACTAATCTGTTCCGATATGCAGTTTTCAATGTGGCTGACAAGGTCAGTCATAGACATTGACGGACGAAGTCCTGGCACCTTCAACTGCTCAAAGTTTCTCATCCCGTGAGGATCATAGCCTATGCTGTTTGCATTCCCTTCAATAGCAGGTGTATCCATCACTGTACATAAGAAGAATAATCATCAGTGACAACTTTGGCATAACAGCTTTTAACATACAGAAGTCGGTTACTATTGCATGTTATATGTAAATACTAACCCAGTGTCAAAAAATCTGGTATCCGAACTTCAACAGCTTCAAAAAATCGAAAATGCATAAAAATGGGACACTAGCTACCTTGCTTCATTTCATTATCTAAACCAGTCTAGCGAGGCATATGCAACTTTGGATAATCCAGACCAAGACTGTAGGGAAGCACCAACTTCACAACACATTAGAAAAGGGACATGAATTGTTAGCTATTTTATCTAGGTACCTCTGTTTAGTCAAACTAATACAATATTTGATCAATCCTGACCCAGAAGCTACAAATTGTAGGCATGAAAAAGAGATTCTAAACATAATAGTACAATTCATGAACTTGAAGATCACAGCGGCCATAGACCTCAAAAACAAGTGGTCCAACAGAAAGATAATATCCTTGTATAAGGACAAAACGATCATCTTCCCCATCACTCATCTCAGGAGCAGAAAATTGACAAGGATATCAACAGGGAAAAAGAAGATGACACAAGTACTCCATTAAGAAAAACCAAATAGTAAGACAAGTTAAAAAGAAAGGCTGAAGATGAAAATGTAGACATGGCATCAGATCAGAACTCCTTGTCCCAAGAAATAAAAAATAAATAAATAAATAAATAAAGAGAAGATGGCATCAAACACCACAGGGGTGGAGGAAAGGAGTTACCAAAGTCCAATAGCACAACCAATTATTGCATGTATGCATGTAAACTAGTCAGTATAAAACATGTATACCAGAATGATTTTGCCAAAAGCAACACATTTTCACTAATGAAAATGAATCTGAATCTACTAGATACATTTTCCATGGTTGATGTCTCATAATTTTGAGGTCATAGCTTACGAACAAACAGTTGATGTTTACACCCGGAATATAAGAACAGGAAGGAAGAACTATTTACCTGAGCTTGGAGAAGGGCTATCCTTGGACAAACGTTCACGGGTTGCACCAAGGAGATCAGGTTGTTCAAAAGTCAAGGAAGATGACTGTACTGCAGCAGGTGATGCTGCATCTTGGAAGCTTGATAGTGGGGATCCCGTATCAGACCCAACTGGATCGAAGACATGGGCGTTAAACTCGTCAGGATTTTCAAGCATAGTAGCTTTTGTATCAAAATATGGAGATTCCAACGCCTTTTCAGGCTGTTCGCTCAGAAAGTTAAGCCGGACGTCACACTGGATCAATTTTTCATAATGCTTATTCAAGACACCAGGTGGACACTGTAGAAAATGTTGCCTATACAGATCACACAAAAAAGTTATCACCAATAGCATTAGAAGTTAAACTACTCAACTATGGTATAAATAAGGTGATTCAGTTTTTCAATGCTTGGTGCATCTTTAAGGTGGGGGGATCTCAACCCCATTGCTGAGCTGGCTTTTCAACGTATTGGCCTAACAGGAGGATTTTCAATCCCATTCTGGAAGGACTAGCAGGTATCACGATAACCCTAGTGATAACATTATTCTGCAGATTATACAGAAACTACCATATTAGCCCTTCTCGCAGGCACACACACCATGATACCACCCCATCACTCCACTCCCATCTACCACTCCTACTTCCTAGCCCAACCCTCCCACCTAATTTTATTAGTTTTCATTATTATCAATACGACAACAAGGGTATAATTGTCAAAGAAAGAATATTGTTCTGAATAACAATCTTTGATCTAATTTTTGAAGAAGAGCAATCTTGGATCTAATTCCAGGAAACAAACACATAAAAGAGTCCAATTTATCAAATCCCATGCATAATCCCCTCATCTGCTCATCACCACATACCATCTCCACAATATTAACCCATTTAGGCATTCCAATCTCACCTAACAGACAGTCCCCTTGCTGAAGCTGATAACCTAGAAGGTTCATATTTTTATTGGATAAATAATCCAGAAGGTCCGATCACAAAACTCACATAAAGGAGGGTAAGGTGTATTTACAGCCGCATGGAAATAGTCTAACATGATTAAAGTAATCTAGAAGGCGGGTATAATAAACATGATCCAGCATGTGAATAAAACCTCTAGGGACTAAAAAATATATGTTACGGGGGTGATAAGACAAAACATCATAGCGAACTAAATATCAATTCTCAAGCAGTCATTTCCTAACAGGAAGTAAAAATTATTTACCTATGCAAGCTAGCCTGTCCATCAGTAAAATCTGAAGTTGCTTGCCATAGCGTATGCTTTCTGGGTTGTGGATTTGTCTCCCTGAAGAAGAGGGGCTGTCGAGCCAGCTGAATCACAGAAAACCATAAGCTAAAAACTGAAGAAAATACTACAACTCCTGACGTACTAAATGAAGGGTTAGAGTGCCAGTATAATTATTCTTTCAAGCATTAGAAATGTTCTGTTCACAGGATGAAGTATTTTTTCCCTAGAAAGTTCTTCTGTAGGAAAAATAAGTATGCAATATGGTAGAGTGACCCTTTACTTTGGTGCTGCTAATAAATAATGCTTATAATTAGGCTCTGAAGCAATTAGTATGGAGACTAAATGCTTACCACAAGAGTCAAACTGCCCGGACCATTCTCTGGACAGTTCGCCTTCAATCCCATGATATCCGACCACTGAATCTCAATTTTACTTTTCAGCCCACCTTCAAGAATTTCCCAAACAAGTTTATGCTTAGCAAAGTAACACTTTGCCACCAAATCACCTTCATATCTAGATGCATACTAAAACAAAATAGAAAAAGTTAGCCAAAAGCAAATTATTCACAGATAATCATATTACGGCAGACAAAAGGTTCATGGTAATTACTTCCCAAGACCCTATCCTTAGAAGTGAACCAGAAAAATTTGATGCCTTCAGCTTGTCAGTTGCTCCTGAAGTGGCCACACCCCGTGTTTCCTTTTTGCTTACAGCAGTAGAGTTTTCAGCTGGTGTAGGCGCGACAGACGAAGCATTGTTTTGTGACAGCCTCATCTGGATTAAATCTAAGAGAGATGGACTCTTTCTCAACCTCAGACCTAAAGGACTTGGCTCATCAAGCGGATTATATTCTGGAGGAGGAACTGGAAATTCATTATTTCCAGCATTCCACTGTAAAGAAAGCAGGAGGGAAGTTAAGTAGCTGAAAAGTTGGGTCCCTTAGTCAAAGGTCAAATGCAAATAACAAACAAGCTCAGAATAATATCAGGGACAAATTTAAAATATCTGAAAACTTGGGAAGTGACCTTGCAAGAAGAAAAAGACTCTTCTTTAGCCCTGTACAGCTAAAATTTGCTGCCTGTACCATAAAATGAGCTAAGGCCTTATTCTTGATTCAAATGCTCGTCACCATGATAGAGTGGAGTATGCTTACCAATATGAGTTTTCACCATCCTAAAATCAAGGAATTATGTATCTTAACAATATATTAATCATCTGTCTGGTGTTACCAGTTCCAGTATTCCAGAAATGTTGGTACCCCTTTGGCGTCTTTTCTTCTTTCATTAACAATTGCTTGACACAATGGATAACAGTCAAACCTCTACCCACTTTTCCCATGCCAAAAAGACTGATCAGCCGTATTTGACAGTAAAGTTTTAAATTCCTCATCTGAAATATAAAGATCAGTTATTATTATTCTTAATCAGAGACTCCATAGTTTTACCTGTTCCAGTCATCAAAACCCAACTCCCTTCTTCGATGATGGATTCCTGAACTCTAGTTAGCTCTCTTTTCACTTGAACTAATCTCTTAATCTCCATTTGATCATATTTTTTATGGCAACGCATTTGCACTCACTTCAAATAACCTATGATTCAGGCTAGTTGATACTTTGGCTGACAGCATTCTGAAGAAAGCTTAAGAAAATAATAAATTCATCAACATAAAGCTCCCTAGTTGACTCATCTTTTAATATCACTTACCATGTCAAACTCACCTCACCAGTTAGACTAGCTCAAGCGACAAAGAAAAATAGTTAAAAGTCCCAAGGATCAATAGTTCCTAGATTTTACTTTCTCAATTAGCAGGATCCAAATTATCTCTTATCCCTCCACACCAAGAAAAGGACAGTAATAATAACTAAATAATTACCCAGTTCATTTTCTTTTTCTTATTTGTCTGTCTGGTGGGAGTCAATGCATATACCTAAGCAATATACAGCCACCCAAAAATTGCAAAATTACCCTGTTCATTATTTCGTACAAGAATCCATTGCTATAAGGATGTAAAAAAGGTCATACTAGCATTAACGCACTATATCCTACTCAAAACCAACGGATTCTGCATTCATCAAAATAGTTAAAGTTCAACCAAATTACCACTAACTCCTCAGCAATCTAAACAGATTAACCCGAAACATCCAATATATTTTCTCAGCTCCTTTACTTTACAAAAAGCAATTCCTCTTCTAAAATCGCTTTCTTCCACCAGAAAAGGAAAAGGCACTTTCAGTTCAAAAAGCCATAATGCACAACATCAAACACAAATAAACATCAGAAAAATACTTCCTTTGTCCCATCTAATGTGGCACACTTTCCTTTCAAATCTGTCCCAAAAAAGAATATGACACATGTCTATTTTAAACTTCTCATTTCTCCTAATGAGACATTATAACCACACAATCTATATCTTGTTTTAGGACCACAAGTTTGAAAAGATTTCCTTTCTTTCTTAAACTCCGTGCTCAATCAAACATGGTACAGAGGAATCCTATTTTGTAACTACAAATAGGTTCCCTCCAGATAAACCAGGAAACATACTTTTTTAAAAGGAAAAAAATAAACAATTTAACTTTAAGCTTGCCATTTTATCCTTAAATGAGATATTTCATTAAGTTTCAAAAGTCTATTTTTCTAAGTCAAGCACTATCACATAAAATGGAACCGAGGAGTAACTACAAATACTTTTGATAACTACAAATACTGTTGATAATTACAAATACTTCTGATCCAAATAAATCAACGAAACATTTTTTTTTTAAAAGAGAAAAAAAAAAACCTGATTAACTTGCAAAGAAAACTTGGGCCGTTTAGTCAGGGGGGCATATTCATCTTCAAGAGAATCCTCAACTTCCATTTTCACCGTTAAGTTTGACATTCCTAACGACTTCATCAACTGTACCATTAAAATCCCAAAACAAAAATAAAACAAAATTGTAGAATTGATTGAATCAAAATTGAGATTCAGAGGATAGTAATAAAATTGGGCAAAAAATTGAAATTTAACGCCTAGGTTTTTTGGATTTGAATTTGAATTGGAAGTGAAGAATCCAAAAACCCTAGGAATAGAGAGAAAAATTGGGATTCTCCTTTTCTTATTGCGGAGATTGAAAATGGGGAATAGTTTTTAAAAAAAAATAATTTGTATATATAAAGTGGTGGAGAAAGCGAAAATAAGCAAGAAAGCTTAGTCCAATAATTGGCAGAAATCTGATTTGACTATTATGCCCCCCTAGTTGGATCCGCCATATACTCGGGTCATATTTTCTGATTTTCATACTATGAATTTTCGTAATTGTTGCACTTCAACAACAACAAAGGATAGTGTGTACGCATACTTTATCCCTACGGGGTTGGGAATGGTAGTGTGTACAAATGACCATCGGCATACTTTCCTCCAAGAACTACCCACCTTGCTCTTGGGGTGACTCGAACTCACAATCTCTTGGTTGGAAGTGAATGGTGCTGGAAGTGGAGAGTGCTTACCGCAACCCCTGAGGTAATTGTTGCACTTCATGTAAAAGTATTTTAGGCAATTCTACTCTTATTTTATCCTTGATTGATAGTAGTTTTCTTTTAGTCTTTTAATTGAGTATTGTAATGTAAAATACATTTTTATATTTGGTTACTTAAATATGATTAAAATATATGTATGATTAAATTAAAGTATTGCCTAATAATCATAAATTACCATGGTTGTTCCTATATAATCTAAATGTGTAATTAAATATTAATATTTTATTAAATAAAAAGTCATATATTGCTATTTTTTATATTTATTCTCAATGTTCTATTAGAAGGGAATCTAGGAACAACAGTTAAAGTTGTCTCCGTATGATATATATGTCAGGAGTTCGAGCCGTGCGGCTGTCTACATTACATCCTTAGGGGTCGTTTGGTAGCCGGTTGGAGAGGAGTTATCCATATATTAAAACTAGGATAACTTTATACATTGATTGGTTAAAAGAAGGGGGGAAAAAATAATCTCCACATAGAAGCTAGCATAAGTTATACAATGTTTGATTGTTTTTTCCTCTTTTCCATATAAAAATGTAGCATTGCTAATATAATGTTTGATTCATGTGTTTCCTTTTCCGCATAACTAATATATGTATAAGTAATGAGGGAATCTATGTATTATTTATGCAGGGTAGAAGGTGGAATAACTTATGCATATATTAGTAATACTTGTATTAAAACACAAAATGACAAGCCTTTATTCAAACTTGTATTTTTTTGTTTAAAAATATATATTTAAACTATACTAACAATTTTAATAAAATAAAGTAAGCTAATAATAAATAACACTCACATTACATTTATATTACTAATCCTTATATAACTACTGCATAACTAATCTACGCATAACTAATCTCAATATAACTCAACCTTGCATAACTAATACATGCACAATTAATCCCTACATTACTTCTTCTTGCATAACTAATACATACATAACTAATACCTGCATAACTCTAACCGGCAACCAAACGACCCCTTAAGAGTGTGGCATTTTTTCAAACCCTACGTGAAAGCGGAATACTTTGTGCACCAGACTGTCTTTTTTTTCTCAATGTTCTATTAGTGAAGTGTTAATAAAATGAGATATTTTAGGAGCTGTAAGCTAATAGATGAATACCTTATGAATAAACCTATTAAATATTTTTTTAAAGAGTGTATAAGAAAATTATAGATAAAAATTTTATCCGTATTAAATGAAAGAATTTGTTTTAGAAAATTTAAAAATAATGTGAAGGATATAAATTAAAACCCGTTTTGTAAATTACTAATTGGCAATCTTGTAATTTGTTGGAGAATTAAATATGCACGTGACAGGTAGGCTTAGAAGTTGGATAAAGGAAGTGGGGTCCAGATTCTTTACATAAGACGGGTAATGGTTTGTGAGATGTGACACGTGTCATCTGATGGTGGAGTTACTTCTCTTAGTTGGTTTTTTCTTCTACTTTACACGTATTTCATTAAAGGAAAACACTTTAAAAAGGATCAAATTTTGTACTATATTATTTGACATTGACTTAACTGGCACTCTATAGTAATCTTCCCCTTATTTTTAGGGAAAAATTGACTCTTGACGATGCTTCAACATAAAATATAATGAAGAGTAATTTTAAATAATAATAAAAATAAATGGATTGAACTTTTTTCTCGAAATATATTGACACGTGCAATTCATCTATTTTATTTTTGAGTTTCGTTAAGGATAAAGTCAAATATAAGATTGTTTGCATACAACATGGCTATGAATAGAGGCGGAACCAGAATTTGGAATTTTGGGTTCGATATTCTAGTTCGTTTAAGTTACTAGTTCTAAATTAATAATTTTTACAAATTTAATAGATTCTTTAAGACAAATATAAAGTTTAGATTAAAACTATTGCGTTCGGTCGAACTCGTAATATTCTAGCTCCACCCCTGGATATGAATGAACTTAAAGTAATATTGTTGTAGATAAAAGTAAGTATTTGGATATTATATAAGCATTTTTTATTAAAAATGTGTAACTTTTTCCTAATTTTTCTTCTTTTTTTCTTTTATCTAAGTTTCTGGATAAGTTAGCCTTCATAGTAAGTGATCTTTTTCTTTTTGGCCAAATATATAGACAACTCATTGATCTTGGCTCCATTGAACTTCACTCCATTTTTTATTTTGGTACTTTATCTTAACTTTGTTTTATTTTGGCCCTCCAACTCTATTTTTTATGTTTCATTTTAACACAAAAACTTTTATGCGACGTAAAAATACAGCACGTATAAATACTTACTTCTAATGTGTAACAACCATCCAATTAGATTTGGTCACCTGTTTTTTTATCCTTGTCAGCTGGGTTTAATCCAACACCCTCCCCCACCCCACCCCAAAAAAAATATTTTTTTACTTCTTTTTTTTTTTGTAATTTTAATTTTTTGTTTTTTTTTCATTTTTCTGCACCCCCTCCCCCGGGGGAAAAAATATTTTTTTATATATATTTTCAGTTTTAATTTTTTCATCTTTTGATTTACAATTTCAAAATTTTACAAGTTTCAAAATTATGAGTTCGGAGCTTTATGTGTTTGGAAGTTTACGGGTTCGAAAGCTCACGGTTTCAAAAATTTAGCGGTTCGGAAGTTTATGAAATTTGTAGGTATTTCAGGATATGCATGCACACACGTTTCACAAAATATAAAATTTATTTCAAAATATTTTATTTTTTAATTTTTTTTTTTTACGAAACCGACCAACTTCGGTCGTTTATTTTGGGCACAAAAATGCAGGAAACTCTTTTAGCTAGCGTTTGGCCATAGATTCCCAAATTTGTTTTGAAAAATCTAATTTGGGTGAAGTTTGGTTTGAAGATGAAAATGTGTTTGGACATGATTTTTCAAAACATATTTCACTTTTTATTTGAAAAAACATGAAACATGACTTATACCCCACAAATTCTAAAAACTATCACAAATACCCAATAGTACCATTATCACAAACCATAGTCCTGAACATAAATAAGATTGGTACAAAATTATCATTTTTATAATGAACTACATAAATCATTAATTACAATGAAATCCCATTAGAGAATTACGGCTCCTAATTAAAAAGAAAAAGTTAACTGATATGAGTATTCAGAAAGCCATCTAGCCTACAAATCAGAAGCAAAAGTAAGATGCACAAAGGATTGAGTTGATAAGGGAGCATATTCATCAAATATTTAGTTGGTTGTAATAAATGTGGGTTTTTTTACAAACTATAAAATTTTAGGGTAATATTTAAAAAAATTTAAAAATATAACGGTCATGTTTTGGCCCAAAATTAGCAATTGAGGCGATTTTGGGATTTGGAATTTTGCCAAAATATGGACAAAATCTATGGCCAAACATGTGTTTGCTAAATAAATCCCAAATTTATTTTGGCAAAACTCATGGCGAAACGGGTCCTTAGTGTCCCGCAATAGAAACCGACTGAAATCAGTCGGTTTTTATATAAACAGTAAATGGGAAAGGAAATAATGAAGATGAAATATCTGGGAAGGAAGTTGGGGGCCAACAGTTATTTTATTACTGTTGGAGAAGTAATTTTGCCATAAACAATCTGCCTCACGCGCCTACCATGTGAGCCAATTCACACTATGTGACTAATCAGCTTCCGTGTTAAAAATGAAACATAAGAAATAGAGTTGGAGGGCCAAAATGGAACAAGGTTGAGATAGAGTGTCAAAATAAAAAATGGAGCCAAGTTCAATGGGTTGTATATGTATTTGGTCTTTCTTTATTATTGTTGTTCTTTTTAAAGTTTTTTTTTTTCAATTTGAAAGCAGTAGCGGAGCCAGAAGTTTTATTAAGGGGTGTTAAAATATATAAAAGTAAATATATCAAAAAATTAAGAGGAGTCAATACAAAGCATATATACATATAAATTTATTTATTTTACCTACGTACACAGTATATTTTTTTCGCGAATGAGTGTCATTTGACACGTAAGATGGCTGCGTCACTGTTTGAAAGTTACACCTTCCTAATGGGACGAATAGATTCTCCTTTCTTTCTCAAAAAAAATATTATATGGGGGTCAATAAAATTAAATAATACATAGGAGTCATAACTTTCAAAAAAGCATTATTTAACGTAAGCATTTGGATAATATGGAATATGACGTAGCATATCAAAAAGTTTAAAAATTAAGAAAAAGATTATGTTAACCCCCCAAAATGATTGTCTATGTCATTTTCATTTAGAGTGTAGGTCGTGTCATGATTGTTGAAGCAACTGCTATTTTATAAAATAAAAAAAAATTAAAAAAAAAACTAAATAGGGCGTTTGGACATAAAAATTATAATTTTTGAAAAAAAAGTAGTATTCGGAGTCAAGTTAAAAAATAGTATTTGGAATTTGAAATTATATTTGGACATGCATTTCACTTAAAAAAAATATTGCAGTTTTGTGAGTGGGAAAAAAAAGATTCTGAAAATTTTGAAAAAGTATTTTTTGAAAAACTCATTTTAGAAAAATTTATAAAAACTTACAAAATTTCATGGACAAACACATTTTTGAAAAAAAATTGAAAAAAAAAAAAATTATGGGTAAAACGGAGCCTATAACTGAGCAATTCAGATTTCAGAAGAGTTGAATAAGAGT